AAAAAAAGCCATAATCATTATACTTATTTCATGGGTTGGCAAGTTTTCAGTAAAGGGACAGATAATAAAGATTTTTGCATTTCAGGCCATCAGTCCCTACATAGTTCTGCTGTTGTTGCTTGTTCATAGACGGCAATATATAAACAAATGAACGTGGCCTTGTTCTAATAAAACTTTAGCCACGAACAATAAAATTTTAATTTCATGTAATTTTCATGTTATTATCCTCTCATTAAAAAAATCTAAGAACCAAATTAAATGTTAAGAACCATATTTTAAGTCACAGTAAAACAATGAATAGCTAAGGCGGAGAATGGGCACATTGTCCACAGAATGCCAAGTATGGATACTGACCCATCCAGGGGGTAAAATTAAATTCTTTTATCCTTGCATCTAGACTAGACTTAGTAGTGACTTTCTTCTAACCAAGTATAGAAAGAGAAATAATACTAGTACAGAAATATGGCCGATAGTTCCTTAATTAAGTGATCAAGAGTAATTTTACAAGTGATATCTCATGGATAACATCTAATCTATGATATTATTCAGACAACCCAAATGGCCACCAGTAGAAGAATGGATAAACTTTGATACATAACACAATGAAATACTATGCATTGTTAAAAAAAATGATGAAAATATGAAGCGCATCATAGCATGGATGGACCTGGAGAACATTAAGCTGAGTGAAACTGATGAATCACAAAAGGGCAGATTTTGTATAAGAACACTACGATAAGGATAAAAACCATGACACAGACTTGTAAACCAAAGGGAACAGATTAAGGAAGACAACAAAGTGGGTAGGGCAAAGGGCGGAAGATAATACAGTGGACTATAGGAGTGGCAGATAGTCACTGGGTAAAAGGGAGGAAGAAGAGCAATCGGGTTGTCTACATCTGTAAATATTTAGACCTAAAAGCATGAGTTGGAATTGACTTGATGACAGTGGCTACATATGTCCATGAGGACAAAGTTGTGATAATTAAGGTGTTTTTTTAAAACAATTTTATTGAATGTAATTCATATATCATATAGCTCAACAGTTTAAATATAACTAAGTGTTTGCGTCACCTTGGTTAGAACAGGATTCTAAGTGATTTGGCAATTAAGATCTTGGGAATGTGGCCACTGTGGAAAAGCCTGCTGTTTGATAGGACTGGATCCCCGCATCTTGCTCACTGACCTCCGGGTTTTTGGAGGCAGTGGCACTCTGCCATCTTGTCTACCAATGAGCTCGTCAGCTAGAGCGACAGGATTCAGGAAAAGCCTCCAGTCTGACATCCACCCTTGGAATTTTCCCACGTTCATGATTGTTTGAGCCATTTCCTTGTTATCAGTTTATACAGATATACACTCCATGGTTGTGCCTCTCTAGAAAACCCAAACAGGGCTTCAAAGAGTTCATGGAAAAATGAATTAAAAGATAATGGAGTATTATCCTGAACTTGCTCCATCTTACACACACACATGCTTTGTGCTACTTGGAAGTGGGATGGTTGTACTCCTTTTAATTACCTTAACTTTATATTTGTCTGTGGATTGATTTTCTTAAAAAGAAGAGACCGAAATTAGTGCCCAATGTAAACCAATATCTTAGGTTATTTTGCATCATAAGCAGCCTGAACACGGAGTTAAAATCAGTTTGAATTCCCTGCCCATATCATATGGCATTTATTATTTTGCACCAAACATGTATACCTTGTGCATGGCATGGTGGAAAGCACTGGGATGTCTTTATGAAATCAAAGTATCTACCTATAAAAACCATGCATTGGGCTCCAAAAGTTTATGGGAAAATCCATTATTTTTTCAATGATTATTGAATAAATAAGTAAAAAATACAATCAGTAAAATTGGGACAGTTTATGATTAAGAAGCATAAGCAACAATTGCCTTAGGCATTCCAGGGAAAAACTAAAATAAAAAATAATAGACATAATATTAAAGGCTCAGTATAGACCAGGCATTATGCATGAATCATTCCAACATACTCTTAAAATAATCTTATAAAGTACTAAGAAGTTAAGTGATTTGTATAAGGTCACATAGGTACTTAAAATGATTGTGTTTGAGTCCAGGGAACACCCTTTTCTCACGGACCACTAAATTCTATATAGATTAACATACAAAGGACAAGCTTATGCTCATAAGCCCCATAATAGGCCCAAATATCAATACTTAACACACAAACATGAATTCATGGACACATACATGTTCAGAAACAGAAATATAAAAGTACTAACGTGCCAGAGACAGATATTGTCATTTGTACAGTGAAACATGCTTTTCCTTATTCATAGGTCAGACCAAAGTCCCTATTTGTCAATTTGAAGAATAATCATAGACACATGTCTACCATCTTAAATTGAGTATGATTTTTTTCACAAAGAAATGATTTAAATATCAACCTCTTCTAGAACAGTGAGGTTGATTATGAATCATTAAATATTTGGGTAGTATAAGATAGAAAAACAAAATGTCAGAAGTTTGATAATCATTTAAAAATGAAAACTTCTCTCTCATAAGCTAGCATAAGTCAATGCTGGGGAGATGCAAGACCATATAGAGGGGGGCCAGGCCTGTCTCCACATATGGCTCGACCCGGCCTGGTGCCATCTAGTCAGTTCTGACCCATCGTTAGCCTATGTACAACAGAGTAACCCCACACGCCCTGAGCCAGCCTCACGACTGCCCCAGGCCCGAGCCCTTTGACGCAGCCACTGTGTCAGTCCATTTCATTCTGGGGTCTTCCTCGTTTTCCCTGTCCTTCCACTTTACAAAATAGGATACCCTTCTGTAGGAGCTGGTCTCTCCTGACAGGGCCAAAGTAAGTGTGATGATGTCTTGCTATACAGATTGGCTTGTCCTTTTAGCCATCCATGCTACTTTCAATACGTGTCTCCAGCATCATAATGCAAATACATCAATTTTTCTTTGGTCTTCTTTATTCAGTGTCCAATTTTTACATGCATATGAAGCAATAGAAAATACCATGGATTGGGTCGGGTGCACATTAGTCCTCAAAGTAACATCTTTTCTCTTCAATATTCTAAAGAGGTCTTGTGCAGACTTACCTAATGAAACATGTCCTTTGATCTTTTGATTGCTGCATCCATGAGCACTGACTATAGATCCAAGTAAGACAAAATCCTTAACAATTTCAACCTTTTCTGCATTTATCATGATGTTACGTATGGGTACAGTTAGGAGGCTTTTGGTATCCTTTACATTGAGTTGCTATCCTCCAATCTTGAGGCCACACTCTTCCTCATATAATCCCGCTTCTCTAATGATTTGCTCAGTGTACAGATTGAACAAGTACGAGGAGAGGATGCAACCGTGGCACATACCTTTCCTGATTTTAAACCATGCAATATTCCCTTGTTTACACATCTGCTCTTGATCTATGTACAAGTTCCAAATGAGCACAATGAAGTGTTTTGGAATTCCAATTCTTCCAAGGGTATCCATGGTTTATTACAGTCCACCTTTCCAGAGTCAATGAAACACAAGTAAACCCCTTTCTTGTATTCTCCACTTTGAGTCACGACCTATCTGACATCAGCAATGATATCCCTTGTTCCATGTCCTCTTCTTAATCCAGCTTGAACTCATGCCAGTTCCCTGTCAGTGTTCTGCAGCAACTGTTGTTGGATAATCTTCGGCAACATGCTATTTGTGTGTGATATCAATGATATTGTTCTATAGTTTGAACCTTCTGTGGGGTCATTTTCCCTGGAATGGGCACAAATATGAATCTCTTCCCAACAATTGGCCAAATAACTGTCTTCCAAATTGAATCAGGTTGCAGCTTGATTGGAGGACAATGTGATAAATTACTCTGCAAGGTCCGCCCTTCTCTCTCTTTGCTCCCTGGTGATCGGAGCAGGATCCTGCCGCTTTATTCTCTGCCTCAACCTGTGTCGTACACTACCTGTGGGCCAAGTCAACCCATGGATCATGTTGCTTGAGTTTGAGGCTGGTAGATCCTATCCCTGTGTTTGAGTTCCAGATCCCAGCACGGCCTGCCTCACTGAGCTTTTGAGCTACTGACTGTTGCTGAGCCACCCTGCTGTCTGCCTCTTGTGGGAAGACTCTCTCTGCTTTGCCTGAGGGAAGACTCCACTGTCTGCTTCCTTGACCTTGGACCCAGCAGCCCACGTGAGTTGAAGGACTTCCAGTATATTAACCGCTCCACGAAAGTGAGTTGAATTGAGCCCTCTGTACTCTGTGTGGACTAATTAGCTGTTACATTCCTTCTCACTGTATAAAACTATGCATGTTTATAATCCTAAGTGTCCTGGTTTTGCTTCTCTAGAGAACCCTGCCTAACACATTTCTCTTTTTAACTAATGGAGAAGTAATCAAATACAGAAAGAGAATATTTCCATTATTTCCCAGCTGTCATTCATGTATAAATTTTTCTTAACTCAGAAAACACTGCCACATTGATGTTCTTTAACTTTAAACCTGATAAACCTGACCTGCTCTTTCCCTCTTTTAAATGTTTAATTAACAGAAAAACCAACTGGGATGCTTCTTCAGAGCACAGTTTTCTCACCCCTCCCCCTGGTGCTACTATTTAGAATCAAATCTATTTGCAGTAAATGGAATTGCTTTACACGAGGCCACCAAACATGAGTTCCTATATTGTGAAGGCTGTGAAAATCATTATCATAAAAATCATTACTCACTGACTGTAAGTTAATTATCACTCACACTGTTTATAGTTGAGATACCCTGTGTCAAACATTTTACATAATGACTCAGGTCAAGGACGATATGCTTGGATATGGTTCCTTTTGCTAAGCCATTAACTTATATCAAAGGGAAGGCTTTGTTTTTCCCTGGTGATTACATATCGCAAGCTTTAAGCATCCTGGCTGTTTTGGTTTCTTTGGTCTTTTCCTACTATAAGAAGTTTTCAAGACAATATTTCAGAAACTAACATATAAATGTCTTTGATGAGCCTGGTGTGATTTCAAGACATTTTTTACCCGGTCATGGATCTCATCAGAGTTTGAAGGTGAACACCAATCAGAATGGAATCTGTGGACATAAAAAAGCAAAGGTGATTTATAGGCAGAGGAAGGGGAAACAAGTCTTTCCAAGTTCTCACAGCCGCCAACTACAGAAACTAAAGGTTTTGAACTCCTCTTTGCTAACTTAAACAGAATAACATTATTTTTTACCTTTGACTAAGAGTAGTGGGCATAAAATCAGGTATTAGGTCGTGATTCTTAACTATAACACTAGTTCTTTACAATCTGTTTAATGCATGGAGCTAATAGTGAAATGTAACATGCATCGGGAAGATTGTACCTATAGATGTAACCATTTTAATGATTTCTAGAAATAATTACTTAGCACTTTATCATTAAGATACAGAAATTATATTAGAATAATTTTACATATAGTGCTTTAAAAATTATTCTGCAGTAATTTGACCGTACTCTCAAAAGTATGTGGAAGAAATTATATTCTCTGTACAGGAAAAGGAACTTTTATAAACTCAAAAAATGTACATAAGTCCATGATGTAAAAGATTTAGAATTCAACCACATTCTTACTCGTTCAGAATACAGAGGAGATTAGAAATTGAATGTTTCTCTGTCCACTACAGATGACATATCATGGTCTCTATTCTTGATTATAATTCTATTTTCAAATTACATCTAATCAAATACAGGGGAAAAAAACTAATAGGGGTATTCTAGAGACTTTTATGAGGGGGCTTCAAAAGATTTGTCGAAAATGTTCAGTAGCTTTTCATTTTTCCAAAAATGCTTTGTTAACCCTCTTGGAATAGTTTGAAGGTTACAATGAAAGATTTCAAAGAAGATGTATAACATCCATCTCCTCCTTTGTTGTCTTTCTCAAACTCAAAGCTCAAATTAACATATATATTAATATACATTATATATCCCATTTTGCTTTATACCAATAAAGAAATTGTTTAAATCCTTAAATCCATGCTTATGATGTAGTGTTGATTATTTCTTTATAAAGGACAGGTAAAGGATTAGCATGTTGCTTACACCTTTACCTTTCTTCCTTCCAAAGTTAAAACAGTAAACATCTACACAAAGTATAACTGATTGCTGCTATTGTTTTTGTTGTTAGTTTCTGTGTATTTGATTCTGACTGGTGGCAACCTCTATTAAGCAGATAAATAGTTTACATATGCTGTAAAGAACACAATTAATAACAGATGATAAACTATGCCTACATTTTAATCTTCTACCTTTGGAAAATACAGTGATGCAAAAAAGCTAACAGATTTTGTTATTGGCAACATCTATGGAGCATCTGATAAATCTGACATGAAAATTTGAAACTCCAAGTGGGTACCTTCAATGATACTATTAGAGGATCCACTAGTCTGTGCTGTGGTATAAGGAATGTTTGTTTACCAATCTGTAATTTACAAAATCAAAACGCTAAGCATAATTAAATAGACTATCAACTCCTTTTTAATTAGATTTGCTAGAATCTCTTAAGTCTAATTTTAATAAGAGCTATAAGACCTAATACAAATTTTAAGTCGTAATATTAATATCTACACCACCTGGGGAGAAAGACTGCTTCTGCAACATAATACTTGTAATCTAAATTGAACCTATTTTATGATGTACTAACTTCTATTGGAGGTATTTTTTTAAATGGGCTTAAAGCAAAAAGCATCTTCGCTATAAATGAAAGAATTCATTTGCTTAAAGTTTCCGATAGAGATTTTAAATAATTGCTTATTCATATACAGGATTAGGTGTTAGCGTTTTATTACAATCTTAAAGAAAACATATTTAATTTTAATGAGCATATACCCAGATAAACTCCTATAGTTATATGTTCTGTCGCCCTTCCAATTTTTCCCAGACCACATAATCTACAGCACCATCAGTTCAAACTGCTTATTGAGTCCAATGGATTGCACAAAAACCATGTAAATAAGTTGCTGAGTGATCTATGAACAGCTAGATCAGAGAATATCTTATACTTAAATATGTATACAGGGGGTGGGAGACACAGGGTTTTTATTCCTAGTAATATATATTTGAAATGTTTATTTTGATTCAACAGTCCATTTAGATTTTTTAAACGATATTACACTAACGTTAGAGGGGTTCTGAGGGAAAATAAAAATATTTACCAGACTTGCCCTAGACAGTGCATCAATAATTAAAAAAATTGTTTAGGTAAAAAATTCAGAAATGAGATGTCATTATACCCAGGTGTTCAAAGCACCTCAGTTGTCCTCAAGCAAAGCAGGTGCTGTCGAACGTCTAATATGGGTGACTCGGGTCCTCTGAGTGAAGAGCGCGTGCTCAACCAGGAATGAAGGGAGAGCTGGCTCTCGGGACCCTCAAGAAGATTTCCGGAATGTAGCCTTACTGACAATTTACCAACCGGGCCAAAACTGTACCGGGGCACAGTGACACAGGACTAAAATAGATACTATAGTGGGAGGTTGGCAAGGAGAGTTCTGTCAAATTTGTGAAAAGATTAAAAAAATAAAATATTTATACAAAGAATTATAAGGATTTTATAAAAAGGATTTTACTATTCATGACGTTAAAAACTGCACCAAAATAAACTCACAATAACTTGTTATTAAAAGCTAAATAGGATCTAGTTTGAGGTACAAAGGTGGATAGGACATCAATTTGAGAAAATTTTCTATCAAAGCAATATGAAGTCTGCAAGCGTACGTGGAAGAATGGTGAAATAAGTGAAGTTTTATAAAAAGCACATATCTAAATAAGGAGAACCAATGATTAACAACAGAAAACAAAACAAAAACCAGTCAACAACATATATATAAGGGGGTACCCCAAAATAATCAGATACATTCATGCACTTAATACATTTGTCAGATCTGTGATCCATTCTTGGAAAAAATTTCAAACTCCTATGTTTGAATGGCTGACAGCACCTCCCTCGTTTTTTTCGTCACCTCTTCTACGTCATCAAATTGTTGTCCTTTCATGTCCTTCTTCATTCACGGAAACAAACCAAAAGAAGTCGCAGGCGCGAGGTCAGGTGAGCAAGGTGCATGGGACAAGAGAGGCATGCTGTTTTTTGCCAAAAACTGGTGCACTGAGATGGCTGTGTGAGCAGGTGCATTGTCACGGTGACAAAACAGCCCCACATCTGCCACTAATCAGGCCTTCATCGTTTCACACTGCTATGCAATCTATTCAGAAGCTCGAAATAGAAAGTTTGATTTACAGTCAACCTGGTAGAAAGAACTCCAAATGCACTATCCCCCTCCCACCAAATAAACAAATGAGCATCATCCTGATATTTGAGTTCACTTGACAAGCTTTTGGGGGGATGTGATAGGTAGGGTTGTTGTGCCAACATGGCCAATGAGCACATGTGGGACTGGTTGAAGGGCGGAGAGATAAATAGCTCGGTGAGCCTCGCCTTTCTCTCTCTTGCTCTTTGATCATCAGACCAGTGTGCGGCTGCCTTGCTTGTTCTGTGCCTCCATTTGCAAGCAACACTACCTGTGGGACGCCTACCCATGGACTGTGTCACTGTAACTTGAGATTCCTTCAAGACCTGCTTTGCCACGCTACTGGAATGTACATCTCTTGAGCTGGGGACTGTCAGACCCTGTCATCTGGCTGACTGTTGGTGACCTGCTTGCTGATTGCGGCCTGTGGCCGGATAGCCTGAACTGCTCCACGGAGGACTACCCCGCAGCCCACAAGACTTGAAGGACTGCTGGTTTACTAGCTGTCTCACGGAGGTGAGTGCACTGAGCCATTTGTACTGCTTTACAGATTAGTTAGCGGTTTGCTTCTTATGTTATCTATCTATATAAATATATACAAAGTTATTAGTGCCCTGGTTTTGTTTCTCTAGAGAACCCTTCTAACACAGGGGGCAAAGTGATGATGGCGACTTCCACTGGTTTGATTGATATTTGCTTTTGGGAATATAAGAATAGCACCATATCTCCTCACCAGTAATGACCTTGGGAGAAAAGTCTGGGTTGTTTCAGAGCTTTTCTTTCAAAGCAGGCATGTTTCCACTCAACACTCTTTTTCCTGTTCGGTCAGAACCCGAGGCACAAACTTTGTAGCGACCAGTTTTATTCCCAAATCTTTCATTAAAATTCGCTGAACCAAGCTCCAAGATAGTCCAGATAACTCCCCCATCTCTTCCATGGTCCGTTGTTGGTCTTTGAGGACAAGTGCATGAATTTTGTTGGCACTTTCATCCGTTCAGGAAGTTGACGGATGTCTAGAACGAGGTTTGGCATCAATCGACATTTCACCTTTCTTAAAAGGAGAAAACCACTTGTACACTTGAGGTTTTCCCATAGCACTGTCCTTGTAAGCTGTATTCAACATCACAACAGTTTCTGCAGCATTTTTCCCAAGCAGGAAACAGAATTTCACAGCTGCACGCTGTTCTCTTAAATCGGCCATCATAAACAACCAGGTTCGAGGAAAATGCATTTATGAAAAAATTCACTGTGACCAGAGAGACACCACTGGGTGTACTAACTCAAAGCAAGTTGCGGGATGCTTGCCTGTTGGGAAAACTGTGTACTACAGAAGCTCCGCCCAGTGAAGCTTTTATCCGCCTTTTTTTGGTGGGGGGGGGTACTCCCTCATATATCAGTTGCTTCCACTTAATCAATTATGACTGGAAAATTACATTTGAATGATCTTTTCCATTAGTAGGTGCTGAAAGATCTGTGACTAGATCAGCTGCAGATGAGAACAGTTTTCATTAGAAACTTTGACCAACTGGGGAAATGCTGATTAATATCTTGGAAGAACTTTAACGGGAGCTGAAATACGGCGTTACCAGCACAATCCTGAGTCAAAGAACAATCAAAGAAACCTAGCCAGACATGAAAATAGTCTAGTCAAAGTAAAAGTGGACCAATCTTGGCCACACTTCTTTTTGAATGCGCTAAGCAGACTTCACTTGTGAACTTTCTGGAGGGACAAAGAGCAAAACCACCACCTCCTTATGTTTTGGGAAAGTTAGCCAAAGCTTTAGCAGAAAATTGCTGAGATGTTGTCAATTAATATGGCCCTTGCAGCCACAATCGCTTAGATATATTCTAAATTCTAGTCTCTAAATCTGTATTATCATCCCATTTTAGAGGAAGCTCTCTGCTATGCTCATGGGCAGGGTTTAAGGTGGGATATACTCCCAGTCTCCAATTTCTTACTTAGAGAGTGTGAACAAAGTCACCACCCTTTATTTCTGTGGGGATATGGTCTCCTGTAAGACAATTCCTCTGGGTATAAGAGGCATCTCAGAAGCAGCACCATTAGAATAATAGCCATCGCTGAAGTGCGTCTGAGATCTCTGTCTGAAATATCAGAGGCTAAGACCAGAAGCATCAAAGATGGCAGCACTGAGACCATGGGACCAAGCAAAGGAGCCGGGCTGAGATGGAGGCCAAGATCAGGAATTCAAGACAGAGAACACTGGAGCAGCACTGAAACTGTGGGACAGAAGGCAGAAGCCAAAGGACCTGTAGGTAAGGGGCTGTGAACTCCTGATCATTCCTTGTACCAAACAAGGACTTTTTTTTTTTTAATTTTCCAAGGGAGATTAGGAATCTACCTTATATTCCTGATTTCACTCCTGCCTTTTAGTTTCTAATTTAGTTTTCTAATCTTAAAAAGAAAACTAAACAACCTTTAAAAATACCCATTTGACTTCATTTAATAATGTTTAAAAAGACTATATATTGACAGGGTTAAATTTCTAAGACCCTCAATCCCTTAGGGATGAACTACATTGCCAATATTGTTGCTTTTATAAAAGTGTCTAAGTAGATAAAGTTTAAGTGCAGAAGTTTACATTTATTTTTTTTAACTCTACTTTTCCACAAAAAAAATGGAAAGCATATCTGAACATCTGAATAGACATGAAATTAAGATGATGTAAGTTATCAGAAAAGCCTCTTATCAGAACCTACCTAATCACTAACTGTAAAGCTCGTGAGGGCTACAAACAACAACATATTCCTGCCCTCCAGCCGGTTTCGGCTCACAGCGACCCTCCTCTAGCGCTGTCCTTTTAGAGACAGCCTCCTTGGTGAAACTTTCCCAGGGCTTTGTAAAAAATGGCATGGAAGCCATATCTGACCTCTACTTCCCTGCTTCCAGGAGACAGAGGCCAGAAATACTGTCACCATCTATCTTCGTTTATTCTGCCCCTTCGAGTTTCCAAGACTGTAACTGTGTGTGAGAGTAGAAAGCCCTGCCTTTCTCCGAGGAGAGCCTGATAGTTTCAAGCTGCTGACCTTGTGGATCCCATTCTAATGTGTAATCACTATGACACCAGGGTTTAGGAGGATTACAAAAAGCTCGTGGAAAAATTCCATTTACTTTAAATTACATTTTTCCTTGAAGTTTTTGAAGGCCCCCTCATATATAAGCATACAAACTCAATGAAACCCTTAGGCATGATTCAAACAGGCTAAAAGCAATAGAAATCAAAATTCCTTTTCTCAGGATTACAGTCTCCACATAGAGGATTGATGAATATATTTAATGGTTCAGAAAAGTGATTCTCTACAATAGTATTTAAGCATTAGTCCAATCATCAGTTTAGAGCTACACTGTTGGGATACTCTCTATAATTACTTGGAACTTAATTATGTCTGAGGGGCCAACTATACTGCAGAAATATACTGGGCTATATTCATTTTTGATCCTATATATAAAAATGGACTGGTTTGACGGTTGTTTGACAATGTAGCTCAGGTTTTCAAATTTTAAAAATTACTAAAAAAGATTTCTTAATTTATTACAACAACTCCTTTTCCGTTACTAGCTATCTGTGAGAGGGTGAAAAAAGGCCCACTGAAATCAACAAAAAGAAAGAAATGGCAGGGGAACTGTTTCTTCCATATTTGAATTTAGCAATTTCAGAGACTGGTTGAGTGTTTTAGGGAGAACCCGAATCGTTACAGGAGTAAGTTTCGCATGGAAGGAGGTTAACTGAGGACGAGATACCCTCCTCCCACAATAGAGCATCGTCATTATAACTAAAGGAAAATGTAATTTGTACACTAGGAGCATGGGCATACTGTAAGCTAAGTATTGACGAAAAAGTTAAAAAACGATTACATAGTATCGCCTTTCACTTTAAGAGCTACAGCATTTAATTAGGGTTAAAATCTGACAAATCTGATTAACAAACTAACTTGTAGTGAATTAGGCTAGGAAAGCGTATCTAACCCTATAATATATTCTAAAGGAAACCAATTTCAGTAAGGTGTTCAGAATCAAATTATTTTACAAAGAGTAGCTTTCACATCACATGTAGTATTGCATCCTTCGCTTTTCTATGGCTGACGATTCAAAGGGGGGTACAAAAGAGAAACCACACATTACCTTTCCCTGAGAGAAGTTCGATTTAACACAGGGCTTGGAGAATGCTTGGGTGTTGTTGAGGGTGCTGAGTGGACCAGCAGTGTCCTGGCTGAATGCTGGGGCTTGCTACATGACCTGGAGCCCAAATACTCATCACACCTTTCCAAAGAGTCATCGAAGTCTCTCCCATGGGGTGTTCTCATAACCTTTAAAATATTTACATGTACATAGTTATATATGCTTAAATACAATATCTGAATATAACAATATACCTACCCAGGTCTCTTATGAAGGTTAACAAAAGAAATATAATTCCATAGCTGTATTGGAAGGCAAATTTCAGCATGCAATAGTCATTTTCATTATTGTAAAATTAATTATTAAACCTATCAGACTGTTCATTCCACTTTATCTCAAGTACTGAAAAAGGTACAAGCCAGTTATCCCAGATGAATACAACGAGAGACTTCAAATAAATTTTGCAATAAAGATACAAAAGTCGATAACCGTAACACAATGACAAAGACAACTAGAACTAAGTAGATATGCAAGGAGCCATGAAAGAGGAACGCAACTGGGATCTATGCTTTCCATTGAATTCGCAAGCACCAAACGTCATGAGTAAATGGGGAGAGGGAGGCTTGGGACACGTAATGAGGGAACAGGTCTTTGGCCAGGCATCAATTCAAACTTTCAAACATAAGCCTTAGCTATGGCTTTCCCACATCTCTTCTGGGTCTTCCTTAGGCTACTTAGTCCCTCCCCAAACTCCAACTCTGGTTCAAGACAGAAAAGTTATATTCAAATTTTAGGGTACAAAGATCTTGGTTCAAGTTCTTGCTATTTATATTACCCTGAGCAAGAACAAGACATTTATTGTTTCTGAGTGTGACCATGTCTTGGTCCATAACAGTTTGAATCTACTAGCTGCTCCAAGAGAGAAAGAGGTAGCATTCTGCTTCTCTAAAGATTATGTCCTTGGAAACTCTGAGCAGTTCTACTTTGACCTAAAGGTCAGCTAGGAGTGAATAAACCTAATAGCAATAGGTTTATCATAGACATTCAATAAAATAAAATTAGTTAAAACACCTTGTAGAGAATGGGGCTATAAAAGGCAGTAATATTATTACTTCTGTGTATAGAGATCTTTAAGGAAGTCTAGTGGTGCTGTCGGGTAGGAGTTGGATTACTAACTGCAAGGTTGGTGCCAGACCCATTTGACAGGATTGGGATTTGAGTAAAGAAATTCTTATATTTCTGTGTATTTTACATTTGTAGAAATATTCCTTGAATGGTTCTGTTTGGAAGCTCCTTATGATATCTCAGAAATGTAGTAATTGTTCAAATAGATTTAAAAATTTTTTTAATCTTTGCTCTTAGTAAATCTGAATTCTTACAGGTAATAGAAGTCTCATATGATAATTTATTATAATTATTGACAGCAATTTTCACATTTGTGATATAGAGTGGCTTGGTTGTATAATACTTTTGAAATATTATTCAAGTTGCTTACATAATAAATTAGTGAACTAAATGACATTAATGGCCACAAAATTATTTATTTATAGGAAATTCAGGATCAAACTCATAAAAAAGAGAATCACCAAGTCTAATAAAAAACCCAACCAAACCCACTGCTGCCATTAATTCTGACTCACAATGACAATACAGGTCAGAGTAGAACTGCTCCATAGGGCTTTCAAGACTCTAAAGCTTTATAGGAACAGACAACTTGATAGAGGAGCTGGTGGGTTTGAACCATTGACCTTGTGATTAGTAGTCCAACTCAATGTGCCACCAGGGAACCAACAATTCATTTACTGAAAAATATTTCTCAACATCATCTACTCAGTGCCAGGAATTACATAGCATGCTCAGAAATTTCTCTATCATAAGACATGAAATTTAAGAAATAGATATCATTCAAATGGTGCTCAGAATAGGATTATAGAAAAGAAATACAGGGTAGATATTACTTACAGGAGGGCAAGAATAAAGTATGGCTCTGTTTCAAAAGCTCCCTGGATAGCAGAGCAACTGGTGTGTCCTTTGCTATGAACCTAAAGGCCGGTGTTTGAAACCTACCCAGCAGAAACATGGTCATCTGCTTTCATGAAGCTTACAAGAAAACCCTATGGATGAGGTATCAGGCATCAAGGAACAAAAAAATCATCATTGTGAATGAGGTGGGATGCAGAGTGGGGACCCAAAGCCCATCTGTAGGCAACTGGACATCCCTTGAACATCCCTTTACAGAAGGGTCGTGGGGAGGAGACGAGCCAGTCAGGGTGTGATGCAGCAATGAGGAAACATACAACTTTCCTCTAGTTCCTAAATGCTTCCTCCCCACCATCATGATCCCAATTCTACCTTACAAACCTGGCTAGATCAGAGGATATACACTGGTACAGATAGGAACTGGAAACACAGGGAATCCAGGACGGATGATCCCTTCAGGACCAGTGGTGAGAATGGGGATACCGGGAGGGTGGAGGGAAGGTGAGGTAGAGAGGGGGAACCGATTATAACCTCCTCCCTGGGGGACAAACAACAGAAACATGGGTGAAGGAAGACGTCAGACAGTGTAAGATATGACGAAATAATAATTTATAAATTATCAAGGGTTCATGAGGGAAGGGGGAGCGGGGAGGGAGGGAGAAAAATGAGGAGCTGATGCCAGGGGCTTAAGTGGAGAGCAAATGTTTTGAGAATGATGAAGGTAATGAATGTTCAAATGTGCTCTATGCAATTGATGTATGTATGGATTGTGATGAGTTGTATAAGCCCCTAATAAAATGATTAAGAAAAGAGAGAAAGAAAATCCTATGAAGCAGTTTTACTTTGTAACGTATCAGGTCATCATGAGTTCTTTTATTTTGGTTTTAAAAATTAAAGAATTTGATATTGGTAACAGATCAGTTCCTCAATTTGGCTTAGACCTTTGTTAGTTTAAGGAGCCCTGGTGGCACAGTGGTTACGAGTTGGGCTGTTAATTGCAAAGTCAGCAGTTCACACTACCAGCTGCTCTTTGGGAGACAGTCTTCACAGAAACTCCCAGGGGCAGTTCTGTCCTGTCCTATGGGGCACTTTGAGTCAGCGGCAGCACGATGGTGGTGTTTAGTTATTAGTTTCCCTTGAATTGATTCCAACTCATGGCAATTCCATGTATGCAAAGGAAAACTTCTCCGTACGTTTCAAGACTGATCTTTTAGAAGTAGATTTCCAAGGCTATTTATTCTCCAGGGGTTTTCTGGGTGGGTGAAACTGGTATAATTTGGTATAGGGATTAAACACAATTTCATCCAACTTCAAGCGCATAATCAATTCTTATCTGATCTAAATTAAAAATCTACATGTCCGTATATTTGGCTTTATTTGAGAAAGACATACCTTCTCTATACTGAAGAAGAATTTAGAAGAAATATTAAAATAATGGAATGGAAAGAAAAAATAGTAATTCTTAAATGTTATCACTTCAAGACTGGGGAAAAAATTCTTCCCCTCTGAAACCATTGTTCTATGCACTTAGATAGATAGCTCACTAATCCTCTAAACAACCTTTTATTGTTGTAAGTCAACAGCAATGCATGGCGAACCCATCTGCACAGAGCAACCTGACTACTGTATTATATTCCAGGAAAGTCTTGCCCGGGGAAATAAGACTGCACATAATCCAATAAAGAACTTCATTATTGAGGACCTAATGTCGGGGGTTTAAGTGGAGAGAAAATGTTTTGAGAAACGATGTACAAATGCGCTTTACAGAATTGATGTGTGTATGGATTGGGATAATAGTTGTATGAGCCCCTAATAAAATGTTAAAAAATAATAATAAATTAATTAATTAAAAAAAAAAAAGAACTTCATTATTTGTTGTGGGATTTTCCCATCAATCAGTAACTTACTTGGACAATAAACTGTTCAATCATCTCCCACCTCAATACAACAGACTCCTAGTCAGGACAAACACTCCCCTTTTCTCAAAATGAAAGATCACTCACCTGGATAAGGGACTTCTTTTTCAAATAACTGTTAAATTGAGAAGATGAGCCTCCAATTTGTGTTTATTAATTCTAAACTTTTATATTACAAACTTTACTAATTAGATTGCCATATTGAAAGAACCAGTAGAGGCAAGATCCCCAAACTCTATTATGTGCTTTAAAGCACTACCCACCCCTGAGAAACTACCAAAATAATCACTGTAATGCTTCTTCCTTACTGCAGCAGGCCATAAAGTCAGTTTAGCTTGATATCAACAGATTAGTCAGGTAGTTTAAATGGCATGCTGGTGAGTTGGCAGTTGACAATCCTGTAAATCGACTGGATCAGGTAGCAGGCACCTAAGACCCATACAAAATCATACTCAATGTGAAGGGTGGGGGGCATGGAGTGGAGACCCAGTGCCCATCTGTAGACAATTGGACATCCCTTCACAGAGGGGACACAGGGAAGAGATGAGCCAGTCAGGGTGCAGAACAGCACCGATGAAATACAACGTTCCTCTAGTTCTCTGGTGCTTCCTTCCCCCCACTGTCATGGCCTCAATTTTACCTTATAAATCACAGTAGACCAGAACATGCACACTGCTACAGATAAAGAGCCCGCAAAACAGGGAATCCAGGACAGATAAACCCCTCAGGGCCAACAATTTTAAAAATTGAAGTCCTATTTAATTTTAAATTGCCCTAGGTAGACAACTACTTTATAATATCAAGTTTTTCTCTATGAAAGCACAGTTGGCGTTTTCCGCTTATCAAGTCTACTTTTCTATCAACAAGACCTACATTTCTATCTATATTGCTACTACACAGATGTAATTAATGTTCTATAATTTATCTCTAGGTTCTAATATCCATTGAAATGGCTACACAGAA